TATAGTAGATAATCCTGATTATGAGTGGAGTAATTAACATACGTATAAGATCAGAAATAGAATGTTTTATGGGACTTTATAAATGCAGCTTGCTTTGAGGAATTTGAACAGTGTATGCGTGCCTGGAAGCGAAATCCCAGATTGGTTTACTCGAGACGAGGTTTCTTACTCAAAGCCCAAAAACCGTGTGATCAAAGCTGTAATTGTAGGTATTGTTGTCTCTATCGACCATTCCATACAAAGATGATCTAAGAGATCAATCCCCTGTAGTAGCAGGTATTCTAATAACGATCCTCAGATTGAACGTACCAATATTCAATACTACACCGCTTTTAGGAGTGCCAAAGACAGATGAAGATCATTTTTACTTGTGCCGATATGAAAATCATACTCCATTGGTTTTGTTTTTGAAAGACGGTGACAAGATACGAGTGGCAACGCAGAACCCTTCTCCTCTCAAGGGGGTTCACCTGAAGAAGTGTGGGATTCATCTGGTATTTGAAAATGATGATGATTATGTCGGTGACGAAAATTTCATGCGTGAAGGTCAGCAATCTGTATCGCAGAAATTAATGACGTTCATGGGATCTTCTGAAGAAGATAAACAGACCTTGGACCCTATTTCTGAAGTTGAAAGAGAAAAGCCAGAGAGGAAACAAAGAGACGGAAATTCATTTGTTCTTCTCTTCATTGTTCTTCCTTTGTCCTTCCTGCTGTTGAGTTGGTTGGTATTCATGTTTTATTGTTAAGCAATGCTATATATGTAATCTTATTTCTTACCTTATTTTCTCACTTGTAAATTCAAGTGTACAGATGATTACTTACAGAATGGGACACATGTGACACGTGAGACGAAGGGTGGGGTCTCACACCCTATTATGTGAAAATCTTTTGTGTTTCTATTCTAGACGCATGAGAATGAGATTCACATTAATAAATGCACATGAGATCTCCTCAATTATATGTTTAGAAGTGAGAAAATACGGTAAGAAATGAAATTATAAATAGCATTTTCTTTAATAGTTTGTGCTTTTATTTGTCTCTTTCATTTTTCAATTATCTTGTGTTGTATAATTTATGCAATTTATTATATATTGTTCAATTCTTGAACATAATTCATTTTGTGATAACCAAACTGTTAAAACTTGCATTAAATTCAAGTGGGCACCAATACCTGTTGAGGAAAAGATTTTTTATTTTATTTTCCTTGTTCGTTACTTGTCAGGAATTTTTTTTTATTTTTTTATTTTAGTGGCAGACTCGAGTTTGATGGTGAATTTGGGCAAGTGGGGTTTGATATCAGCCAGGGATGCCTCTAATGTGGCGGAAATTTGACATTTCAATTTTTTTACTAAAAAACAATTTGGAAATGAATTTTGTCATTTTTTCTCGGCAAACAATCTAGTTGTGAATTTTTTCCACAATAAAACACGTTAGTGAATGATATAATTTAACGTTAAAGCTACAAATTAAAATAAAATAATATAAAAATAATATTTTTTATTATTTTGAATTAGTATAGACTTTTTTAGTCGTTATTTTATACAAGTTGGCCAAACACTCAATTATCAAAAAATATATATTAATAAATAAATTAAAAAAACTCAAATGAAATTAATTGAGATGTACGTAAGTTGATCTAAATATTCAATTATCAAAATACATATATTAATAGATAAATTAAAAAATTCAAATGGAATGCACGGTATTTGAACTTACAACTTCGTAAGACATCATTGGCCATGAATGATTGAATTCGTTGCTTAAAATGTCAAAATTTAACAATTTTACCTCAAAATTGTACACTCAAAGATAGAGAGAGAATGCTTATCCAATAAAAGAACATTATATATAACAAAAGAATGTTCATTTAGTCCAAAAAAAAAGTCATTTTTTACCCTAACAATCCTGATAACTACAATACCTACCAAAAAAAAAAAAGTCAACTCTTGTATGTGGTACAACCAGTTTTCAAAATCTAAAGAAAAAAATAAAATATATATAATGTACAAATAAATTCCTTCATTCAATTCTTTAATGATAACTTCGACCGAAACCTCACGCTGGCTCGCCTTGCCACATTCCATGCCTTGTGAGGCGCAGGGACACCTGCTTGTGAAGCAAAAAAAGACTCATACCCCGGTGAATCAAAAGAAAAACCAGTTTGCCTGGAATTCTCTCGTGGAAGCTGTGCGACACCAAAGCTCCTTGCATCATTTGGTGTAAGCTGGTTCCCAATCTCCAGCAACCCGGCACAGCCATTGTCGGGTTCTTGCCTATGGATTTCTTGAAAAATCTGATAATCATAAGGAAAGAACCATCTCAGAACCCCGAGGCCAAATAACAAAAGTTCATAAATGTATTATACCAAATTATAAAGCATCAAGAGCCATATTTATACAAATTTAATGAAATTTTAAAAAGAGTAAGGATTGGACATGATTTTCTTTCCTAAAGAGTACTTAAAACAGGTTTTAAGGATAAGTTCGGAATTTTTCAAAAAGATTTACGAAAAGAAATGAGTAAAGATTTGAGTTTCCATACCAAATCAAGCTTTTAGCCAATTTTACACTCAAATTTGATTAAAAAAAGAGAAAAAGAAGAAAAGAAAAAATAAGAGAAAGAGCAAGGATCGGAGATGCTCTACACGTAAATACTCTAAATCGAAGTGTAAATACTCTAAATTGGCATTATACAAATACTAGGGGCTTTCCACAATGAAATCATTAATCCAAATCAATGGCACAAAAACTCACATTATAAATCAACATTAAATAGAAAGAATGCAAGTACCTTCTCAAAAGTCCAACCATAATCACAGGCATGGCTGTGAAAATAACATTATATAAAGACTGAAACCAATTGTCATAGAATCTCTGACCAGAAAACCCAGTTTGGAAGGTGTACCAAAATTGAATCGAAGTCAATGTAAGATTCTTGTAAATGAAATAGGACACAACGTGCAATCAAGAATTTTTAAGCATGAAAAAGTCTAGGTAGAGAAATGAAAAGAAAAATAAACTAGAAGGTAGAAAATTAGAACCTTGCATATTCTGAGATATGACCATCGGCCATGCACAAGAAGTAAATCTGTAAGAAAACGGAACTGAGCAATTGCAAAATCACTAGCCATAACTGCTTGCATTCCTTCCATACCACTTATTCCAACACCAATATGAGCGGCTTGAATCATACTAACATCATTGGCACCATCACCAATACTAAGTGTTATTTTGTGCTTTCTGTAAAGGAGAAACTCGGCAGCAAACTACTGAACTACAATTCAAGCTCAAATTCAGTAGTATTACTCTTAAACTCGGGTCTAGTGCATACATCAAACACTTCCCATCTATCACAAGAGTCAATTTTTTGCATTGTTAATATATTGATTGGATTGTATAAATTTGATTGTCTGAAAATAGAAAAAGGAAATGAATACTTAAAAACAAAAAATCAATGATCAGTTTGGGAAAACAAATACTGTAATAGTGTGATCCCTACCTCAATTGAAACATAAAGAGAAATGGGGATAATTGGTGAATACAAAGTAATTAGGGTAAACATATTTAAAAAAGCAACCTGTAGAAGAAATAAACAACATCAATAACAAGAAGACAAAAAAGAGTGAGTATAAGTTTGTCAAGTCCGTTATTGGGGTTCATAGCTGGTGTTAGATTTGGACCGTGAAGACCCAAGAAGTAATATTTGCTGTTTATAGATACTCCACTACAAAATTTCATTAAGCATAAAGAATGTCATTGAAAGGGAAATTAAAAAAAGAAAAGTGAAAGCTCCACATTGGTTGCATCATAACATGGAGAACAGTCTAGCTATTGTCATACCTGCCAACGGCCCCAATTAGACACATACAGAAGAGAACACCAAAAAGAGTGAGTATAAGTTTGTCAAGTCCGTTATTGGGGTTCATAGCTGGTGTTAGATTTGGACCGTGAAGACCCAAGAAGTAATATTTGCTGTTTATAGATACTCCACTACAAAATTTCATTAAGCATAAAGAATGTCATTGAAAGGGAAATTAAAAAAAGAAAAGTGAAAGCTCCACATTGGTTGCATCATAACATGGAGAACAGTCTAGCTATTGTCATACCTGCCAACGGCCCCAATTAGACACATACAGAAGAGAACACCAAAAAGAGTGAGTATAAGTTTGTCAAGTCCGTTATTGGGGTTCATAGCTGGTGTTAGATTTGGACCGTGAAGACCCAAGAAGTAATATTTGCTGTTTATAGATACTCCACTACAAAATTTCATTAAGCATAAAGAATGTCATTGAAAGGGAAATTAAAAAAAGAAAAGTGAAAGCTCCACATTGGTTGCATCATAACATGGAGAACAGTCTAGCTATTGTCATACCTGCCAACGGCCCCAATTAGACACACAATAACAAGAAGACAAAAAAGAGTGAGTATAAGTTTGTCAAGTCCATTATTGGGGTTCATAGCTGGTGTTAGATTTGGACCGTGAAGACCCAAGAAGTAATATTTGCTGTTTATAGATACTCCACTACAAAATTTCATTAAGCATAAAGAATGTCATTGAAAGGGAAATTAAAAAAAGAAAAGTGAAAGCTCCACATTGGTTACATCATAACATGGAGAACAGTCTAGCTATTGTCATACCTGCCAATGGCCCCAATTAGACACATACAGAAGAGAACACCAAAAAGAGTGAGTATAAGTTTGTCAAGTTTCCTCTCCAGAGTACTTCTTTTGGAAGGAACATTCATGGAATTCATCATAACCTGCAGTGCAATAAAAAGACTGATGAAAACCTAACACATGTTATTCAATAAAGGTAGCTATGAAATTGTTCAATGTTAACATGCCATTTTCGTGAAACAAAGTCCCACACCGCCTAATTCTAAAGTAATGTTATGTATATAATCGTGAGGGCACCCTCACCTCAAAAGCTAGCTTTTGGGGTTGAGTTCTACTCAAGAATGTGCAACAATTTTAGCTCCTCTTGGGTCATGCTTAATGTTTTATTTTATGCAGTAGGTCCCAAGACCATATTGAGGGTGATGTAGGTCAACAGCAACAACGTAAAATGGAAAGATTGAGGACAATTGTCTCAATGAAATTAGAATTAATGCAGGATAAAGGAAACGGAGGAGGTGAATTATAGGATTACTATAAAAGGCCTACAATGATATGTCGTTCTGAATGTTGAGTGGTTAAAAAAAGAATGTTCACAAAATGAGTAGAGTAGAAATGAGAACGTTGAGGTGAATGAGTGGACCAATAAGAAAAGATAAAATAAGAAACAAATCAACTAGGAAGAAATTAGAAGTTGCTTCAATTGAAGATGAGGTAAGGGAAAACCCTTTGAGATGGTAATAATAGTCATGTGCATCATAGACCAACAAAAGTGCCTATAAGAAGGAGTGATTTGATCCATGCAGATAGTGGTAAATAAATAAAGATTGGCCTATGAGGATTTGGGTTGAGGTAATAAAATGGACAAGACCAACTTAAACTTATTGAGGATATGATTGTGACCAACTGGAGAAATTGGATCCATGTAACCAACCCCATTTTATTGGGAAAAAGGCTTGTTAAATTGAGTTGAAAACTGCTCAATGTTAAAAATTTCCTTTCTCTAAAAGGGAAGGCCAAAATTGAGGTAGATGTCACATTTTTTTTTCCTTTCCAAAATATCTTCATGTAATTGCCCAGATCAAAACGTCCTATAACTAATGAAGTCCAAATTCAGATTGAGATCAAAATTTATAACCTAAAATAGCACACCACACACCACTAGTATAGTATAGTATAGATATAAACAAATTGACATAAAAATGAGTAATAAAAATCGAAATTGTAGGGATTTGAAAATACCTAGCAGCATGAGAATGCTGAATTGTGTAGTAGCCGGCATGGTGACCCAAGTCTTCGGCGGAAACATCGGGGCCAGCGAAATTGGGAAACTTGAAACGCTTCTCGACGATCCTGGGAGCGACAGGCGCAACAGAGACATTTGTTAATTGGAGTGATGAAATTTGTTTTCATGGAGAATGTAAGTAGAAGATAATTCATATATCATATAAGACTTTCCTCACCAGTACAAGTGAAGGAAAAAAGATATGATGCTTTATTACCACAGCTTCTTTGGTTGCTTTCTCAAATGAGAAAATTGTCCTTTCTTTATTAGAAGGCTGTATATGCTACCAAGAAGGCTGTGAGAATAGTATTTTCCAGAAATAATTGTTTACTATCAGCAAAATCTATGTTGAATACCAATAAGATTGAGCCACAAATGCAAAACAGCATTAACTTTTTCTTTATCTTTGGTAATAAACAATTATTACAAGGTCTCCTAATATTCATGTGACTTAATCAAGGGGTAACATGTCAGCCACCAACTTTGGGAATCTAGGACTGACATACTGCATGTCACAGAAAATTTAGGTTATCACATATTATGCTAGGATATCTGTGCTTGTCAGAAGAACATCAATCAATGGATTTTATTTTATTTTTTTGTTTGAGAAAAGTATAATTGAGCTATCTATGTTTGCCTTCTATTCTGAGTTCTAAATTCAACTACCAGCCTGGGTGCAAACATGGGTGTTGACGCTTGAATTTTTTAAGGGAGATAAAAGGCAGTGGTCGTAGAACATATGTCACCCTATATTTTAGCTGCCCTCAAAGGTGATTGGGAAATGGCTTAAGATTTTCTGGAATTTAATCCACTAGCACTGCGTGCTCGGATTACAAGGAATTCAGAAACTGCTCTTCATATTGCAGCCGGGGCAAGACACACAAGGTTTGTAGAGAAGCTAGTAAACTTGATGAAACCGGAAGACTTGGCACTTCAGCACAAGGTAGGAAACACAGCACTTTGTTTTGCTGCCGCATCCGGAATCAGACAAATTGCTGAAGTGATGGTGAATAAGTGTAAAACTTTGCCTTCAATTAGAGGTAGTAAAGGAGCCCTGCCACTGCATATGGCTGCTTTGTTGGGACATAAAGACATGGTCTTGTATCTCTACTCTGTGACCGAAGAAGAAATCATAAATGAGGAAGATCGCATTGGTCTACTTATTGCTACTATCACTGCCAATTTATTTGGTCAGTAACTTTCACCATGCTACAAATTTTATAAAAAAAACTAAAATAATAGTAATAATAAATACATAAATAAAACTTTAAACCATGCTAGAGAGATCTTTAACCTCAAGGGGTTGGCCGAACGCTAAAGACTTAAGAATAAGATCTGAAGTCTCGAGTTCGAGTCTCCTAAGAGGCCACTGGAAGTTTGCCCGGTTGTTAACGTCAGGGCTTCTAGGGATTAGTTTTCGGCTGTCTAGGTATGAGGTAACTCAAATGCAGTTGAGCTGGGCTGGGTGGGAGATACCCTGAATTATCAAAAAAATGCTAGAGAGATCTTTAGTTCTCCATTTTTGTCTTAAAAAGAAAATCGATATTGAGGCCTGGATCAAGATCGATTCCAACAATAATAAAAATACTAAAACCGGGACTAATAATTATCAAATAATTGATATATAACTTATTCTCTCTACTACTTACAACACAATTTTGGAAGCAATTATTATATATGTAGAATCACTTGAAAATAAAATAAAATAAACACTCTAGAGGATTCATGCTTCATCTGTGATGGGTGGCTGAAGGCAAAAATCTCAGTATAGAATTTTCAACTGTCTATCAAAATTAATGAATTTACTTGAACCAGACTCTCTTGTGATGTATTTGCCCTAGAGTTCTTTCTTTTCAAACATGTACATTTCTCTACTCCCTCAAAATTATGTTTATTTTTGTCGTGGGTGGGAAACAAAAGTATCAGTTCAGAATTTCAAGAAAGCAAAGCACATTCATATAATTTTCTTCTTCTTTTGTGCTAGCTTATTATTTTCCAAAAAAATTCAAAATATAATAAAAATGTGGGAGTGGATTTTCCAAATGATTTGAGCCAACATCAATCAATATGTTATAGTTACATGAAGTTATATATCATAAAGTGAGTAATTATAAATGACAACAACTATGGCTTTGGTTATTAGGACATATTGGTAGTTTACCCTTTTATTTGTTGTTGGATTCAATGTGATGATAATGAAAGCATTTTATTTTATTTTACTTAAATTACTTCAATTTTGACACATGGTGGCATAGGCAACATCAAAGCTAATTCAAAGTTCTGCTAAGCCAATTCTTGAACAATATAGATCAGTTATCTTATCATCTCTCAAGTTTTAAAAGTTGACTCTTGGTACTGTGGCTACACAATTCACAGGTTTGTTTGATTTCTGTTTGATCTTTGATGAGGAAGTCGAGAAAAAAGAAAAAAAGAAAAAAACAGACCAACCAACAACCAGACACAACACCTAGAGCAGGAATACTTATGCAGAGCAGGCATCTGATATTACTGAGCCAACAAAAAGTGCTATGGAAGCATGGCCTTGACATAACACTGGCAGTGGCATCCGATAAGCCAAAAAATATCCTTAAAAAGAACATTGGCACAACAGAATTTGGGCTTCAAAGAATTCCATGCATGTTTTCTTGGGAAAACTGATGAACATTCCAACTTATAACCAAACTACAAGAGCACTACAATGGCATCTAAATAACAGCCCCCAAATAACAGATCAAACAAAGAACAGCCACCCACAAATCAAACAGAGAACAACACAGATAGATAAGGAAACCAGAATAAGCAGAAGCTGGATTAGCAGAACCAGACAAGGCCAACAGTTGAGGCCACACCAAAACTGAGGCAAACAAAACACCTCAAATAGCAGCAACACCAGAATGGCAGTTCAAAACAACAGAGCCTACGTGAAATTAGAAACCAGAACAGTTCACCATATAGGAAAAGTATCATACTTGATGTTAAAACTAGAGTCGGCATTGGATTACCTATACAGGTGATCTTCAACTTATTTCTCATATCAATAAAACTTTTCCTAGTAGCAAAACTATTAAAAACTACTCTCAAATTTATTTTATTTTCACATTTTATTTATTTATTTATATTATTTATTTATTTTTTGTGTGTATAGTACTTCTAATACTTATTTTATAGATAATCAATGTGTTCTCTTTCACTCTCTTTGAAGAATAATAGGTGACTAAAAAATTGGATAACATGATATAAAGTAAAGAATGTTCGGTTATTGGAATTTTACCATAAGATGCCACTTTAATATTTTTTCGTATATATTTTCATCTAGGTCAAAATATTGGATTCACGAGAGTTTTCAGATTAATTTTCAAACCACTAGTTGACAAGTTTCCATATTTTGGGGCTGTTTGTTATTCTTTGATGGAAAAGGTGGGTACTTTGTTTGTGCATTTATTTTCTGTTTAGAAATAATTGTTTTGGGCTATCGGTGGAGGATAGTCGTGATTGTTGTAGATAATGCATGATGATTAGGCAAACGGAAACTAGTCAATGGAATGTGTCATGGAATTTGACTGTTGATAGAATACATTAACTGTATGTATTAAGTGTTTGTATATAGAACCAATGTGTTTGTATACGTTATGTGTAGAGGAGGAGATGGAGGATGTACTCCACGGTTTAGGGGAAGATGGGGGATGTACCTCTAAACCGGATAGTATTGGGAGAAGATAGGGGATAGAGCTAATATGCTTATCTAGAGAAGTGAAGATACAACTCATATGGGAGAAGATACAGCTCATATGCTTGTCTAGAGAAGTGAAGATAGAGCTAATATGCTTATCTTTGTGAAATGTGGATACAGCTTATACGCTTATCTGTGAATGTGGGATATTGTTGTTATACATATCTGTTGGGAATGTGGATATAGCTTATATGCTTATCCGTGAATGTGGGATATTGTTGTTATACATATCTGTTGAGAATGTGGATATAGCTTATATGCTGATCTGTGAATGTGAGATATAGTTTTTATACATATCTGTTGAGATGATGATAGAGCTAATATGCTTATCTGTTGAAAAAGGGAAAATGAAAAGTAACTTGGAATCATAAGTCGTATGACATAAATATGTGATTTATGTGAATGTGTCAGTGTTGTTGGTTTAGTGTATTTCTACTGGGCTGTGGCTCACCCTATATGGGAATATCATTTTCAGGTACAGGTAGCATGCCACCTCCAAGGACATAGCTTGGGAGGCTAGAGGCGGACATACTTTTGTCGTTTTACTTTTGAGGTATTACATGTAAATCCAAGCCAAGGGCTTAAGGTGTAAATGAGTTAGTACTCTTTTGTTGTAACCAAGTGTTAACTTGGAAAGCTGTAAGCCCGTAGGGCATTTTGCTTTTGTTGTTAACATGTAATACTTTTGTAATCAAACTTTGATGAATAGAAGAATGTGGTTATTTTACATATCAATGCATATCTTTATTGATGGGTTTAATGTTGTTATTTTGAGGGCGTTACATTGATGATGCTAATAATGACAGCTATTAGGACATATTGGTGGCTAAAAAATTGGATAACATGATATAAAGTAAAGAATGTTCGGTTATTGGAATTTTACCATAAGATGACACTTTAATATTTTTTCGTATATATTTTCATCTAGGTCAAAATATTGGATTCACGGGAGTTTTCAGATTAATTTTCAAACCACTAGTTGACGAGTTTCCAGATTTTGGGGCTATTTGTTATTCTTTGATGGAAAAGGTGGGTATTTTGTATCTTTGTCCCTCTTTGAACTTATTAGTCTAGTTTCCAACATTTTGGAAGTCATCTTCATGATAAATCACGCAAATTTGTGCAAATATTCATATATTTATCATGTCATCATAAAAAGAATTATATAAAATTTTGAAAAATTACTATGCACTTGATTTTTGATACTACAATTCCCCCTATGATTCTGCCACAGAAAAACATGGACTTTACACTCAAAGTTGTAGGTGGGGAATTATCAGCAATTCTCGAAATTTCTGATGCTATTGAGGTTTCAGAAATTTTATACTTTTATTTATTTATTATTTGTTTCACACTAAAATTGGAGTTAAACAAGCAACTAAACTTGTGTACAACACTATTGCATATGACATATAAAGAACAAAAACAAAATGTACAAGGACAATAAAAACAATGTAGATTTGATATTGAAATGAAATTTGTGTAGGACCTACTAAAAAAGCATAAAGTGGTTGGCCATTGGCTCAAAGAATGGTTTGAGTT